CACTGGTGGACGTCCACGGAGGTGACTATGTGGGAATCGGGACAATGGTTCGACACAGCCTACGCGGCATGTACTTTGGGTGGGGCGCGTTGCAAGCATCAAGTGCTACGGCACAATGTGGAGGAGATCCAACGTTGGCCCCCAGCCAATTGCCACCATGTACACGACCCACAGGAATGGACCCCCTACACCTCCGACGGCCAGCGGTTCTACCCATCCAAAGAAGAGGCAGAGTACACCGCAGTCCTTGCCTTTGCCATTGCAGTGTCGGCTAGTTGGTGGGCAGTCCGCACAGGTCTAGCCGTCCTGCATGTCCCACGCATGCCCACGTTCATGTCAGTTGGACGCCGTGAACATTGGCTGGATATGGACCCGCGCGCAATGCGGGAGTGGGCAATGGCACCACTGGCGGTGACGCTGGGCCTCACAGAATCCTTGAGGGCTGAACGATCGGGGTTACCGGTCCGAAGGCTCGTCAAAGAGGTGATGATCGAGAACAATAAGCTACCACGCAATACCATCTACGTCGGCCGAGGCAGCTTTCATCATCGCCTATCGACGACCAAGTGGAAATCGCCATGGACACCGGGCCACAACTGCGAAGCCGGTGAATGGCCGGCCAGGTACATCGTCCACATTCGAACATCACCTTTGTGGGACGCCTTGCATGAGCTTAGCAATATGGAGCTGGCGTGCGATTGCCCCATGGAGCACCTGTGCGAAGCGGACATGCTCATTGGCCTCTTCTTCGATGCCACCGCCCCTGGGGGTGACCCATTGCAGCGGGGCACCGATGGCCGATGGAGTAGGACTGTGGCATTGCTGCAAGGGATCCAGGCCATTCCTAGGGGGGTAGCCCTACCCATGATGAGCCAAGAAGCACTGGTATTGGCATTCCAAAAGCTTTTCCCCGAGCACTGGTTCAAGAACTACAAGTTTGCAATGATCGAAGACCTCATTAACAGCCCGCCCTTCTGCTCATATGCCGCTTGGCTTGCAGAGCGAGGAGAAGCTTGGGACGGGCCCCTAGTCCCGCATCTGGCTGCCGGGTCCGTGAGGCAGCTTGCACGGATTGGGGACGGGTGCCAAGTGGGTGCGATGACACACCGTGCCGCTTTGCCCCCACTGCTGCCGTTCAACTTGGATCCCGAGGACCACTTCAACCAAGCAATCCAACGAGCCCAGCAACCGTTGCCCTACGAAGACCTCCCAGTTGTCGACTTAGACCTGGAGTTCGTAGCAGATGCATATGTGGCACATGGCCAGCAGTTGCGGCCGTGGCGGCAGCAGGCAGTCGGGGCCATGCGAGAGCTGAAGAGACGCTGGGAGGGGGTGACCCTCCACTTGCGCTCCTTCCAAGAGCCGGCCATCCAGCAGGTCACACGGCACCGCGATGTGGGGCTCATCGCATTGCTGATGCTGCTGACGTCATGGGCAGACACCAGCTTTCCCTATGGTCTGATCCGTGGGTTGCCTGCAGTGGGCTACGCACCACCTTATGGGATATTCCCCCAACAGCCAGCGGAGGTGATCAGCATGGCAGATGTGTTGGAGGGATGGCAGGAACACAATCAGCACATCTTGGGCCAGCTGAGAGCAGGCAAGGACGATGAGTTCCTCCTGCAGCAGTCATTGGAGGACGCAGCGAATGGCTTCTGCACAGAGCCCTTGCGACGGACAGATTTCCTGCGGGCCATTGGCAACAAGGCCCATCGATTGATCCCGCGTTGCGTGATCACACAGAGCTCAGGCAAGCAGCGTGTGATCGACAATGGAGACACCGGAGGACAATCAGCCTTGTCATCTGATGCGAACAAGCTCACATTGTGCAGTCCATTGCGTCCTGCCCAGCACATTCGCCTTGCAATGCATCGTTGGACAGAGGATGAGATGGCCGATTTCTTCGCGAACGATGCCTGGGAAACAGGACAAGAAGATCTGCCTTCAGCATACAGGTATTGCCCTATGGCATTGCAGGAAAGTCTGGGCTGCGTGGTAGTGTGGTACCATCACGAATGGCAAACCCCTGCATACCAAGTCTACGCTGGGCTACTCTTCGGACTGCCGCTGGCGGTTACGTCATTCAACCGCTTTTCCAGACTATTGGAGGCACTAGCCAGGCGTTTTTGCCGAGTTCTGACATCCCTGTACTTTGATGATGCGACCATTACATACTTGCGATCCTCAAAAGGGTCAGGCCAATGGGCCATGAATCAATTGTGTTCTCTTATCGGATCCCCCTTCGCAGAGGACAAGAAACAACCAATGCAGAGCACCGGAACCTTTTTGGGATTGACTCATGATCTTAGCTCCATCAACGAAACAGGGCATGTACAGTTTTGGGCTCGAGAACGGCTCCATGACAAAGTCCGTGACATGTTGGCAACCGCCAGGGTGACTGGCCATTTTAGCCGAGGGGCAGCATCGAAGCTGTACGGCTTGGCCAACTTCCTGGAACAGGGCATCTACGGTCGAGTGGGATATGGTGGCCTTATGGCCATTAAGGCCAGGCAAGACGAGACAACCTCGACCATCACTCCCGAGATTGAAGCATGCTTCGATGTGATCGAAGCAGTTATGCGCTTTCAGCCAAAACGGGAATTTCCCGTTCTGCACCTGGATCATCTGCGCTTTCTGGCAGCCTCCGATGCAGCTGTTGAAGCAGACAATCCTGGTTCAGGAGGTTTTCACCTGATCTTTTTCCAGCCTGACGGATCACAAATTCGTCACAGTTTTGTCGCGACCAACTGTGCAGAACTACGAGCACTTTGGCAACCTGCAGAGACGCATATCGCCCAATTGGAACTATCTATGGTGCTCTACGCCCTTGTCGAAAGGCCTGATCTGTTTCGAAATCGACACGGCCTATGGTTTTTGGACAATGTAGCAGCCGTCATGACGCTAGTGAGAGGACGTTCTAGCAATGCCGACTTAGCAAAGCTAGGTCATTTGATCCATCTAGCTCTGTTTGCACTGCGAGCCCAAGGATATTGGGAGTACGTCCAGAGCAAGAGCAACTGGGCTGACGACATCAGCCGACTTGGCGTCAATGATCCATGGTGGCGATGCCATGGTTTTGGATTTTACTCGTCGTACCTCCCTACAATCTTGTTCCAGCTACCCTTTGCAGCTGTCATTCTCACCTTCGAATACCTTTAGTGCTTTGGGAATTGAGTGCATTGGGTGATTCCTGCAGAGCAGGTTCCAGCCTGGGTTGCCAGGCAGCTGACCAGTGGCGAAACTGGTCTGGGGCTATGTACGTGTCACATCGTGACAACCCAAAGCAAACCTGAGGATTGCAGGTGAAATTGACTGAGCTTAGGCATAGCTGTGGAAAAAGAAAGCTGCGGGAGCGCGAGACAGTACCTGTTTCATATGACACTTTGAGATGTACCCATGCATTGAGTTTGGCAGGCTTGGGTGTGCATGTATCATCTTTAAGTGTTTCAATGAATGCTATCATTTTGGCTCAAGTAAACTTGAACCAAAATAGCATTCATTGCTGTTTTCTTTCCCCACCCTCCCAACCCTAAGAGCCGACCTCCCGTGGAGATGTCCGCCTAGGTTAGGGGAGCCTGCACGGCAGGCGAGTACATAGCCTCTATCGGGGATCATCTCTTGGGGCGACCAAGAGAGACTTTCCCTCCCTTAGGTTTAAGGGATGGGTGATTCCTGCAGAGCAGGTTCCAGCCTGGGTTGCCAGGCAGCTGACCAGTGGCGAAACTGGTCTGGGGCTATGTACGTGTCACATCGTGACAACCCAAAGCAAACCTGAGGATTGCAGGTGAAATTGACTGAGCTTAGGCATAGCTGTGGAAAAAGAAAGCTGCGGGAGCGCGAGACAGTACCTGTTTCATATGACACTTTGAGATGTATACATGTATATATTTGCATATATATATATATATGTATATATATATATACATATATGTATAAACGCACAATATATGTGTATACATACACACTTATATGTATACGCACGCACTATATGTATACACATGTTGTCCGCAACCTTAACGTTCGCCCAGACTCATCATTGTGACATAACAGAGACAATTCTGTGTTGCTGGGAAGTTGCGAATCCAAGGAAGGCCAAGGGGGAAAATTAGGCCACGGCGGCATGTGAAAGATACTTTGAATACAGTTATCTTCATGAGGAAACAATATCACCTGATCATCATGAGGGATCAAAATCCTCCACCCCCTATGACCAATATGCTGAACGGGCTAACAACAAGCCACCCTCTATGGCCAATATGTTGAATCGGGTAATTACATCATACTACATCAACATTATCTTCATGAGGGAACAAAATCCGCCACCCCCTATGCCCGATATGCTGAACGGGCTAACAACATCAACTTTATCTTCATGAGGGATCAAAATTCGCCACCTCCTCAGAACAATATGATGATTGGGGAAACAACATCAACTTTATCTTCATGAGGGATCAACATTAGCCACTCCTTCTGAACAATACGTTGATTGCGGGACATCAACTCTGGGCAAACGTCAAGGTTGCAGCACACATGTACACACATATATATATATATACAGACTATGTATGTATATATATATATATAATATACATACATTATATACATACATATTTCTATCTATATATCAAGTGCACCACAATAATAAGGAAATTGGATGAAATTGAATAATCTGCGTGAGGAAACACGTTTTCTTTACACGTTTGGGTCCTTTGCATATCAGCAATTGGCCTCCAATGCAGAAGACATGAGCTTGTGGTAGTCTGTGCATCAATTGATTTGCAGCTCGTACTAAAACGCGTACGTAGGACAGAATGGGATGCAAACCGTAGGGAAGAAACGGGCAGAACATTACTAGATGTGAGATACAATATGTTTGTGAACTACTGTATCTCTTTCAATAAAATCCGAATACCGCAGCTTTTTTGCAGCTTGTGTTTCGTTTCTTCGTGATTGGTTTGATCAAACATAGACATTCTTTGGATGTCCGCCTCGAAAGCCAGGCGCAACAAAGACCTCCAGGACCTCAATCTATTCCAACCGCTTTTCTCCAGAAGTTGCGGAACAGATTCAAGAGTATTTGGAGGATTTTTAGCATGGGCTTGCCGGGGTTGGTTGCCAAAGAACTTATAGTTTCCCACCTGAACAGCAAGGGAAAGTTCTGATGGCCAACTTACAGCTTGGATGAAGCATGCGGCAGGGGCATCTTCATGAGCGTGTGCATTAATGTGCATTATATGTACTATCATAGGCTATCACGAGAGCGGGGATGCATAAATGCTCCTAGAACTTATACTCGCACTAGCTATGTTGATATAGTGGAAATGGGGGAGTCCAGCTGCAGGAATTAGGAATTTCACAATTCCAGAACTCAAGGGTCTTAGATAAAAAACATGTCATGTCCTTTTTTTTGTCACCATTTTGTTCATCTTCCAGGGTTTTTTTGGTTTTTTTTGGGATGCCAGGATGAAGCAAGAAGCAACCTTTTGCTCACCTTGGTCCGATGCCTGATCTTACGCTCACCAGCCGGTGGAACACGGCTGTCCGTGAAGCAGGTTGGATATGGCTGGATTGGAGGGTTTTTCATGGCAATTTTTGGGTGCCGATTCTTTGATTTTTGTATATTTTAGTATATTTAGTATTCACATGTATTGAATTATTCACTTCTTTTGGTCAACTATCCAGTTTTTTGGGATAGTGGATAGCCTTGACCCCTACCCAATTGGCACAACTTCCCAATCACGTAATCTTATTTGGATACACCAATCACACATACACACAACGACGGCGGCCACGGCCATGTGCATTTGTCTATCAAGTTAACAGTTGGGCGGTGAAAATGATCTTATCCGGGAAAAAGCACGATTTTTGATGATTTTTGTGTCGATTGGTTCTCCTTTGTGTGCCACAGTTTTCCAGAGTTTCTCATCATGCCTGATGCAAGGTCATCCAGATGGTCTTGGGACACTTCTTGGTCATGCAACTCTTGGTGTCGCCTTTCGCGCCCCAGTTGGGCAGTTTGTTGAGTGCTCAAGTGCTCAACTTGGGTTAAACCATGCTAAAACCATCAAACAACCCGATAGTTTAGGCTAGAACCTTGCAAAAACCCAAGTAGATGATTGTTGATGTCTACAATACATATATATATATTATACATATAAATGAAGAGATTCATATGCACATACACACTTGACCAATTCTATTTTTGCAGCTGTCGTTGATCTTATGTGCAGAGTGCTGACAGCTGAAGGTGCTAACAGCTGTTCTGACCCTTGACGATCTGGGAGCAACCCGGGCGTTGTGTGACTTTGGCTGAAGAGTTTTTGTGCCGGAGAAATTCAGGAGAATCATGGAGGGGTTTTGTTGGGTTTGGACATCTTCAGAATCTCATCACAGTCATTGCTGATTGATTATTTAACTATGCTGAATCGACTATTTTCTTATTCCACCTGCAATTCCGCCGGGAACTGCCAGGTGGCCACAATGCCTGGGTCAAGGGGATGTGCATGAACACTCAGCTACAGGCATTTTCTCTGGTTTTGCTCATTTTGGGCTTGGTCTTTGAGGGCGTCTATTTTCTGAACTTTGGCTGATGAGAGGCTGATGGTTGTTGAACAATGGAAGCCATGAGAAATCGATGAGAAATCTCTGTTAACAATGGTGATTTTCCACTTCGCAAACTGCAACAAACTACCCAAGGATATCATGATTTCAGAATCATCTATATACAATGTCTGAACACTGAAACTGACAGCATACACTTGTTGTTCTTCACTTATGGCTTAGGGCGATGTAGACATCCGTCTCGGCTCACATCGAGGAACTCTATTCTGGAGTATACCACACGTTATGGCTTGGATATGTTGGAATCCACCGGCGCAGCTCCCTCCTGCTACTTGAAGTTGATGCGACTCCGCTCGAGCAGAGTGTCGCTTGGGCAGATTGAACCGGATAAGAAGTTCCTTTTTGTTGGCTACTGTCATGTTGTTTGTTGGTTAAACATGGTTAAACACAGTGTTGGTTGGTGAAATCTCCAATTGAAGTTATTTTGACATTCTAGAGCATAATGTTTTTGAAGAACAGGCAGCAACTGAAGTCTCTTGCATCCTACTACACATGATGCCAGCCGTTCAAAGATTTCAATGACCCAAAGGCTTGCAGTCCCTCATGAGAGTCCGAAAGAAGAATCGTTGTCAGGTATTCAAAGACGCTTTCAGCAATCCAATCCTTCACGCTCTTCATTTTTTGCGGTTCCAGTGCTGCACTATTGGGCCGCATCAATTTTTGTGGCTAGTGTGATCGTGAGGGTTTTGTGAGAGGTTTCAGCTGCAACAGATCTTCCCATCTACCAAGTCGAAGCTGCAAACTTCTGACGAATTCCTGTCTGCCAATCCACCCAAAAAAAAACAAATGCACCTCCAATTTCAGCTTCAACATGCCAGGATGGCACATTTAAGTGGTTTTGGCCGCTCCAAACTGCTCTAGCTATTCATCGCCAATGTCCAAGGCTATTTCATCTTGGTTGCATTATTCATCCTGCTGGGAACCCTCCTACACCCATCGCAACTGGCGCCGGTGCTTCTCTCCATCAGTGGTGCTGCGATTGTCGGACAGCAGATTACCGATTCTTGGCAGATGTCAGATTGACATTAGTGCGACATGTGTGTGCTTGGCTTGGCTTGTAGGAGTTATTGATACCTCTGGACTTCTAGCACATTTTGGAAAGAAGCTGGAACTCGTTTGTTGCATGCACATGCATTCCGTTGAACTGATCACAGCTTAATTGTTCCACAGATCTTCAACCGTTTAAGCCACATGAAATCAACGGTGGGGATAGCATGCAGCAAACCCTTCTGTTTACCCTTTTCCCGCGTGGCTTGAAAACACATTGATCAACTGATCAACGCAAATGGAGTTTTCCTGAAATGGGGGTACCCTAAAATGGATTGTTTATAATGAAAAATCCTATGAGCATGGATGATTTGGGGGGTACCCCCATTTTCGGAAACCTCCCAATTGCTGCGTATAAAACACACACACACACATATATATATATACATATATATATACATATATATATATATACATATATATACATATATATATATATATATACATATATATATATACATATATATATATATATACATATATATATATACATATATATATATATACATATATATATACATATATATATATATATATACATATATATATATAATAATATATATATATATAATAATATATATATATATATATGTATTCCAGAATTAGACAGAGCAAATCCGGAATTAACCTTTCAATCAAAATGATAAACATGGAATCTTTGAAGCATCCTGGTGAAGTTAGCACTACCTACAAAAAGGTGAAGTTTAATGAGATCGTGGAGAAAGCCAAGAAGATTGCTGCCGAGATGCTGCAGAAAGCCGAAGGATTCGTCAAGGAGGGCGAGGCTATGATCAAAGGCGATGGTGCCAGTTGGCTTCGCTAGCTCTTGGTGGATGGGAATCATCAATCCATTTTCATAGGGATATATAGATTTTATGGTTTGGATTTATAGGTTTTATGGTTTGGATTCCCATTTATAGATGTGTATAGATTTTCATATACCCATGATGTTTGGCTTCCCATGGCATGGGATGCATAAACCACATACAAAAGAGGCCCATCCGCACCGAAATGAACAATTGCCATGGCGAAAAGAACAAGAAAAACACCAAATTCAAATTCAGGGTTTTTTTGCCCATTTTCTGAAGCCAAAAGGGTGTGTTTCTTCAAATGGGGGATCCCGTTTTAACATGTTTTAACCATGGATCTCAGTACTAAGTCATACCCCAATGACTTGGATGATGGAACCCCCCCATATTTTTGTGATGGAATGATGGAAAAGAAACATCTTGAAAAAAACATGTTGATATTCTCAAGAGCAGCCGAGGCCACAGAATCCCACAAACCTTCGCCGCATTCGATTTTTTGGAGATGGCTTGAAAGAAATTCAAATTAGATGAGAGGGAACCATGTTGAAGCCACCAATTGAAGAAGAGCTGGTTTCTTTAGTTTATGTTTTGACATTAGCTAGTGCTGAGCACTGGCGCAGGCGTTGCGGGAGATGTGCTGGATAAAATTCCTGGTGGTGCCAAGGACTGAAGCTCATGCCAGTTACAGAACACATAAAGATCTGTCATGATCCATATATGAGGAATATGATCCATATAGTTACACAATATTTACATCAATCCCAAATGGAGGATGAATATGATCCATATATGATCCATATCTCGCAGCGCCTTAGCGCCTTGGCCAACTCTAGGCATCTGCCATGTTGGAGAATGCCATCCCTTCTGCAGACAAGATGATCGAGCTAGCCACGGCACAGGCGTTGAAGAAAAGTTTCTTTCGCCATGATTTTAAGCATCATGTGTCATGTGACATGTGTAGCAACCTCCCCCAAAAAGACAGAATCGAAGAGTAAAATATCCTACTGCTTGAAAATCCCCTTTAATTTTGTTGTTTCAACAAACTCTTCTTCTTCACTCCATCTTTTTAGGGGGTATACCATGGTATACCCTCTGTCATGGCCGTAATGGCCATGGCAAACTTCAGCACGAGGCGGAGAGTGCCATGGATTCAGTCCAAAGTCCCCAGGAGAGACGGCGAAGTGTGGGGAACACATGGGAACACCTAGAGAAATCGAATGGTTTATGCTGGTTTATCACGGTTTATCATGCTTTATCAAGGTTTATCACGGTTTATCACTGTGTCCCTTTCCTAAAATTGGGATAAACTACAGTACGGTAGAGGGCATACTAACCAGTTTCAGATATGTGACACACACACGCACAGTCTTCTCCAATTACTCGTTTGCGACAATCCCCGCAGCTTTTCATAATCTAAGTTCTCCAAGGAGACCAAGAAGGCTCACAATAGGCAGACGAGAAGCCAAGAAACATGACTAGCCTTTCGCAACCTGAAATAGGTTACTACTACCATTTATTAGTAACCTTTCAAGAATCAAACATGGCAACGGACAATTCTCCCATAATATATAACATATAGATATAATGATATAGATATAGATATAGATGATTTAAGATTGGTTCACTCTCATTTCTTGTTGGTCCCTTGATGTCTCTTCTTATGGTTTTTCTGTTCTTTAAATATTTTAAATCTGCCATCCAAATCTTCAATCATTTTCATTGATCTTATTCCCGATCCTCATTTTTTCCGCTCGTAAATCACCGACCTGCCGGCGGCAGGATCTTCATCGGCTCTTGGTTGAAGCCCCACAGCAGGCGGGGTTTTTGGTGAAGTGGTTCTTGCTGGATTGGTTTTAGGGAAAGGTACAGGAATCAATTGTTATATTATGTTATATACAGGTTGTATAAATGTTGTAGCATGGTTGGGAAATGTTCGCTCTTTTTCTCATCAATTCCGAAAATTACTCATCGTTACTAATCAATTCGCGAAGTCTATGGGCCATGGGCGGCAAAGCATGTCTATGTAGCAACACTGGGATCATAATGGGAAATGGTGAGGTGATTGCAAGTACTTCTCGGGTATTGAGTCTGTTTTCAGCCCACACAGATGTGTTCTCGGTGTTCTCGGTGTTGATGTTTTTTTGTGTAAAGGCGCAGACGACACAGATGTGTTCTGAGTCTTTGTGCAGTTTAGAGTCTCTTAGTCCCTTAGGATACTTAGGATTACCCTCTGGTAATTTAACATAGCTATTGAAAATGGCAATTTACAGTTGATTTTCCCATGAAAAAAGGTGATTTTCCATAGTTATGTTAGTTTACCAGAGGGTAAGATCAATGAGGTCCCCAGCCGTGTCCCCCAAATCAGCCGTCTGCCAGGTTGCGGCCCGGAGCTTTGCACCTGGGATTGATCCGCATCGCATCGCCTGGAGAACTGGTTGAACATGGCTATTTTTACTGGTGTTTTTGACCATTGATATGGAGGGATGTTAAGGGAATAATGGGATCTGACCAGTTTTTTGACACATTTTTAAGACACCATGAAGTGAAAGACTGAGATAGTTCAGGTTAAGAACTGCCAGGCTCGTTCCAAATCGGGATTCAGAAAGCCTTGATTCTGGAGTCACCCAAGGCAGCCATGAGCGGTGCTGCTCAGATGGTCCAGGCATTTTTAAGGGCGCACGAAATGGGGATCGGTTCATGTCGCACGAAAATCCAATGCCTTTGGGAAATCAGAAATTCTCAGACTGCAACGCGAAGGTCGTAGTGGTTTTGTAGCAGTCCAAAAGCTGGCGCATGCCGCTTTGAGTGGTCGGTTCAATGTGATCTCTTCCAGATCTTTGCTTCCAACTGACCGTGAGAATTTTGCGATAGCCCTATATAGCCGTAAGTTTTAAATTTCGAAGCAGTCTGGAAATGAAGTACTCCCCTGGTTTAGAAAAAATCGGATTCAATGGTCATGGAGATTATCATGTTCCGCGTGATTCAATGGTCATAGAGATCATAGAGATCAGGGCCAATCCTCCCTTCTTTTCGGAGAAAGCTGCAGGGCATTGCAACCAATAACGTTGGCGACGTTGTCAAGATGCTCCAGGTGTTGCTGGTCATGGCTGGTGAATTTATGGCCATCTCAGTGGGAAACTGATGAGAAATCCATAGCCTCAAATTGTGACTGGGGGACTTTCCCATAATTTTCAGACAAAGCTACATAGATCATGATAGATCCAGCCATCAATGCCGCCATCTGGCTGCCATAGGTTTGAACATTTCAGATTCAGTTGTGACTCGTGGATCGCTTAGATGCATTTTGGCACGATTTGGTTTCAAGCAACGCAACCTCTTTGATATGAATGTTTGTACTTCCTTGCGTTCCACTCTTCTCGCAAGCTAGTCTCTGCATGTGTATTTTGAAGTGCAGACCATGTACTTGAAAGCGACAAGAATGCGGCATCGAGCACACTCGCACATCCTGTAGGGTCTGCTGATTGACACTTTGGTATTTCCACCTTTCCCGTGATCGCAGACCATGGCTTCCAAAAATCCCGCGGCGGCGACGCAGATGTTGCAGGCCAGTGCCCCCTTCAAGCAACCCCAGCACTATGATTTGTAAGTTGTAACATGTTGTAAACTTATAACTCCACAGGGAAGTTGAAATTGACGCCAAAACCGCCTTTCCGTGCCTTTGTCTCTTGGAGCGATCAAGAGAAAACCCCCTCAGAAAGCGCGTTACCTCGAGATTTGGATGGGGTTCTTTGGCTGTCTTGCATCATGATGGTTTCCTGCAGGCAGCAGTGACCAACCATCGAGAAAGCGGCATCATGATGGTCAAGGTTTGCGGCTGGGGGTTTTGCCACTGTACCCTGGTCACAAGAAATGAGCTGGAACTTGTTTATGTTCGGTTCATATCCCCAAACACGAAAGTGATCCATTTAATCCATCACCAGCTGGGCGATAAGAAGAGATTCTCACATCCGCGTGGAAGACCTTGGTCAACAGGAATTGGTCGTGCTCAATCCTTCGGGTGCTGCTCAAATTCTGAAGGCTGGATATCCTCTGGCAATCCAAAAGTGGTTTCGTCGAGTGGCAGAATTGATGCAGAATTGATGCAGACCATGAAAGACCTGACGCAGCTTCACAGCTAGTGGTGTCAAGTTCTTTTTTTTCTCTTTTTTCTAGAGTGAAGATGTACACTTCTGCTTCTTGCTTTGAACCTTGATACCCAAATAGACTTGAAAATTGACATGAATTCTGAGCTATCAATCAACAGCTGACTTCTTGCGGCATTTTTTTCCTGAGTCACCGTGCATATCAACTAAGTAAACAGAATCATAGCCACTCACATGGGGGTTTCCAGAAATGGGGATACCCCCAAATCATCCATTTCAATAGGATTTTCCATTATCAATTATAAACCATCTATTTATCGGGTGCCCCCATTTATGGAAACCTCCACATAGCACCAGACCATGCGAACATTGAGGGAATGTCGGCGCTCCGAAATCGCCACCAGGGCATGTCTGGAGCTTCGGTAGCTGATCTCAGAGAGGCACGACTGCCGGCCAGCGGCATCTTAATGGATATCCTAATAGATATCTAGATAGATCTCTTAAATTCTCTTAATGGATAGATATCTGAATAATCTTAATAGAGATCTCAAGAAAAAACCGGAATCCCGTACACGACTGAAGACTGAAGATCCACTGGTATACCCTGGAGATCCCTGGAGATTCCCAGTGGATCTTATGGATTTCCAGCCTTTCCAGCCTCCGTGCTCCGTGCAGGGCTTGCCACCTGACCAAGCCGAGCTCTTGGACCAAGCGCTGAGAGATGTGGGTTTTGACTTCGACGCGGAGGTGACGGAGGTGAAGGTTGTGGCTGGTGAGGACGACCAGTTGCGTAGCTTTTTTTGTGGCAATCAAGCCATTGGTCTCTGGACATAATATGACATAATGTCATTTACTGTTTCATTTCATATCAAATGCTAAATGAAGATGAAGAAAAATCAAGAAGCATGTTTTTAGGCACTGACAAAACACCGCTATAAGATGCTATAAGTCGAAGGTGATTTCTGACAGAATCGGAAGTTCATTTGGCTGCAGGATGCCACTGTTCCCGGTGCCGTCTCGCAGTTTGAGGCCTTTTACGATGTTCCACGCGCGACGCTACCCGGGGTTGCTCCAACCTATGGGTACATGATAGCGACATATAGCGACAAGGGGAGAAGAACACTGAAGAACTTGTCACTGTTGACCTATGCTGCTATACCATGCTATACCTCGATTCTTGATATGGCAAGGGTTACTGCCCTAGTGTCCAAGACTACTCAACTCTGTGATACTTTCTGAGCACCGCAGCATTTGTGCATGTGTATCCTCTTTCTACTTAGCAGCCTTAGCACGTGGCTATTCATCGTTTGGTGTCATTCACACAGATGCACTTCCTGCTTTGGGCACTTTTTTCATCTCAGAGAAGGGCCTGGTGCAATTCCGTTGTTGCTTGAGATATCAAACAAAGGTTTGGACAGCCACGACAAGTATAAGTAAATGAATTTACCCTTCGGTAATCAAATCAAACATGGCAAAGGGAAATCCCTCATAAATGGGCATTTAAAGTCATTTAAAGGCGACAATCATCGAACTACTGTAAGTGGGAGATTCTCCAGCAGCCAGGGCTTTGCTTACCACAGGTGGCATCGTCAAACACCACAGATATCGCGGCAAAACTACAGGCGGGGTCATGGCCGAAAATATGCCTAGGTGCTATGTTTTCATTGGCAGGATGTTGACACCGAATTTGGCTATGGCTCAAAATTATTGACCACCAAACTTTATTGGTAGTCATCATTGGATATACGACATGTTTGAAACAAACCAGTTCATTGCTTGGATACCCATCGTGTTCGATTGCTGGATGCTTAAATCGAATCCAAAAAACCTTGCGAGGACACTTCCCCTTTTGGTTGCCTGGTGAATCTCAATGGTTGATTTTTCAATCCACATTCTGGTGCTTAAGCTATTGAAAATGGCCATAGAAATAGTTGATTTACCCATTAAAAGTTGTGATTTTCCATACTTCTGGGACAGTTTACCTTAAATTCCCATTCTTTTTGTTGGTTAATGACCCCCTTGCTCGGCTCAGCCTTGAACGGAAGGAGCTGGCTGCTAGCAATCCGGACGCTGCATCGCAAATGCTGCAGGCGGATCACGGGGCTTCCAGGATCTCTCAGGGTACAGCATGGTCCTTGAAAAGGGGGAGAACCCTCAAAGCAGTGTTGGCATGGGCGGCTCTCATGGGTTTATGACTGTGTCTAAGGTGTATTGTGGGAATGGAGCATTTTGATCCATTTGGGGTTGTTTCGGGGCCGCCATGTGAAGGCATCATCCTTGAGATCATGTGCCAGGAATGGCATGTTTGGGATGGAATTAGCCCTGAAGTTTCGAACTGGCCAATGGAGCATATCTGCAAATAGCTTTACAGTAATATACTGATTATTGATTCATATCCATGTAAAAAATCCACCATACAAAACGGTAAACACCAGCATTGTCACTCTTGTAACTCTGGTAGTAAAGGGCCCTTACCAACCTTTACTGTACTACCTGATCTTGCCTTGGGGCGGATTCGTATGCACATGGATTGTCACAATCCATGAACTGGATTTCCCCTTAACTAACCTCATTTGATTGTTTTTCCAATAATTTAACTGACCCCGGATTAGTCAACCCTGATTGAGTATAGTACCCCCAGTGATCTGCGAATATTTGATGCTACCCCGATGAAACAGTCCAGGGCTTTGAGTTCCATCGCTCCCGTGGGGCGGTCCAGGCATTGTCCGGAGGGTACTCCAAAAACGGCGCCGCCAAGATCATGCAGGCGCTGGGATGGACGGTAAAGCGCATGCCACAAACAAAGCCTGTTTAGGGAAGTTTTACTATCCATTTTCTGGTAAACTTGGGGATAGTTTATCGGGTTTACCACAGTAGCTTGGATGAAGGATTTTTTGTGGGCCTCAAATAGTAGCACATAGGTAACCAAGTAGCGATTGGTATCCAAATGGGATGAAATCGGATCGTACAAGCAATGGTTGGCAGGTGGTTCCAGATATTCTATGCTTTCCTGAGTTGGTTTGGTAGACACATGGTAAAACCACCAAGCGTACAATACTTGGATTGGTTGCAACCACCAACATTCGGGAGAAAACTCAGAGCATGCAGGAGATGGCTGCAATCAATCCTTCAAGTGCAGCTCAGATGCTGAAGGCCCATTAAGGGACCAAAGGGGGGGGGCCACTTGCGCTTTTTCAGCCGGATGGTCGTCAACCCCTATGCTGGGATGACGGAGTGGCTGCGGGTGATTTGGATGCAGCCGTGGAAATGTTGGAGGCCACGGCTCGGGTTTTGATGGTCACCGATGGGGTTTATGAAATTGGGTATACCCTATGGTAAACTGTCCCATAACTATGGAACATCACCATTTTGTTGAATGGGTAAATCAACATAATCAACTATTTGGACTGGGCCATTTTCAATAGCAAACTGTTAGTTTACCAGAGGGTACTAGAAATGGGATGTAAAATGACCACCAGCCATGGTCTGGTTCATGGGATTGTTTCATTATCGGAAATACATGGATTTACCACATCCATTGAATACTGTTGGATTGCCATGGATGGATGACCATACCACATCTACATATACACAGACTATTTTTCGACCATGGCACATGGAGTTTGCGGGGCTGCCTTGTCATCTTAGATTTTGAAAGCTTCGCAGCAGGAAAGGAAGACTCAGATCATTGTTCTTACTCTTGTCTAAAAGGTAAGTTTCAAGCATCCCAGGAACATCTTGAAAACCACCAGGGGTTTCCTAAAATGGGGGTGTCAACCCCATTTTAGACCGTTTTGTACTGAAACCTATGGTCTTGTGGACGTTTGGAGGCACTTGCGGCTCCGACAGAAACAGGTGTTTTTACACCAACAGCATTTAACACTGCAGCCTGTCAGCCAACGCCTCCATGACCTTCCCAAGCATGTCGACCATTTCATTTATTATATTTATTTAGTGATCCACAGGAGAGCCACCACCCAACGCCAACAGATGGCTGCCATCAGGCTCTATCTGGCACGGACCAAGCAAAGTACTTGGAAAAGGCACTTTCAGATGCTGGGCTTCCAGTGAACATGGCCGACTTGGCCAAATTCAAGACAGCCATAGAGGTGCGGGGCCAAAGTCAATCACGGAAGAGAAGGGGAACCCGTGTGGTGAATTTTTGGGTTTTCTTAGAAACAGGGATGTTTTGTCACTTTTGTGGTTGTTTGCTGAAACCTCATGTTGTACGCATGACATATGCACCAGGCATCTAAACATCGGAATGCGGAGGCATGTTCACGAATTTAAACACAAAATAACAGGGGAATGAATGGTGAATACATTGAACAAACGAAATGGGGAAATAACTTGGACACAATTGCAGTATTGATAAATAGCTGGGGAAATGATAGGAAATTTGGGGGAAGCAACAGGAAACTGCTTGGGGAATACCCACAGGAAGCGCGCAAGTTCGCTGCAAATCCTCTGGAGGCTTGCGGTACCAGGAATGCAGACAGAACATGTACATACTTGGGGCTGTTCCAGTGATAAGATGTTACAAGATGTTACAAGTGGTTATATAACATTGTATAACTATAGTGATTACTACTGTAGGTCACCATGGTTATACCATGTTATACCCATTAACCCAAACTGCAGCCCCAAGTAGTCTGACATTCTGAATTCCATCCTTTACACACTTTTTCACTTGACCTGCGAATGATCCCCCCGGCAAGTTCCGGATTGCCACGCAGTCGGGCTTTCAGCATCAACGGGCTTTACCAATTGGTTGGATCCATAAGTGGATGGAAACATCATGAAACATCTTTTCTGGATTTTTTGCCTTGTTTGGAATGCAATTTTCGGGGAAATCCTCTTCAAAAACCTTGGGACATGCCAGGCTGCAAGACAAGCTGCTGGTATGGCTCCGGTGAAGCAAGATGAAGAGGCAGGCCGATGTCTCGAGCTGAATATCGGTGAACTTTTCCTAAATGAACGACGGCTCATGATGACCGCAAATGGTCCACTTGTTCCTGGTTTATCTGGTTTATCTGGTTGGTGGATTGGAACATCAATTTTCTTTTTCCATATATTCGGAAGAATCATCCCAACTGACTAATATTTTTCAGAGGGGTTGAAAGCACCAATTGGTTATTCATGGACAATGGAAAGATGGTCCATCTTCGTCAGCATTGCAGCCAGGATCTGGGACGTGCACTTGGTGAAGCCCGCAAAGCGGCGGGTGCAGCCCAGGTGCGGCTGGTTGAGTTCTGTCAACTTCTACAGGTACTTCGGAATTCATCAGCTTGCGATCTATGTGGGTTTATCATATGATATCATATGGTTTATCTATGTTTATCTGGAAATATGGCACCTGGTTTATCATCATTTTCCCCCCATTTAAGGATGGTCTGGGCTACGGCTTTTTTCAGCTGTGCTTAAATCTATCTCCGAGTCCAGGACCTCTCCGGTGATGCGCAGAAAGGGGAAGAAGCGGCTGAAGATTTTGAGGAGAACTTGTTGATGATGTTGGGCCTCAGCAAAGGCCAATTGATTCTACTGAACATCCAGGCCGCGGAAGGATGCCAGTGGCTATCCCTGAATGATTCGTCTGAACAATATCTCTACACGTGTAGGTTGTACCTGTCAGAATTTTAGTTGCTGTAAGGCAGAATTATTTTGCCACATGACCAAACTATGGTTGATGGCTGTAGTCATATCAGAATATGACTTTGATATATACTTTGATGATCATGCCCCGAAAGAAACACGCATTTGGACAAGGATCAAAATTGGGCACAGATATTAGTTGAACTGTGTGGCTGCCCCAAATCTGATGTTTTTCATGATTGGTGGGTATTGCAGGGTTCCGCGTCAAGTTTCTACCTTTTTCTGAGCGCTATGGAAGCCAGGAATGGGATCCAATTCGAAGGGTCGGAATCCCACCACCAACCAAGTTGATTGCTGAAAAACGACCCATTTTGCTCGTACTGTAACAGGTAACATATTTTCATTTAGATTTTGATACCCACCACTCAGTTGGCTTGGCCATGTTGACCCATTCCAGTTTTTTAACCAAAGAGAGACCTCAATGGCATTCCTAGAGATCCCCGCTGCCCAAAGAATGGCCTATAAAATTGTCACTTTTTACATCTTTTTACATGTGTTTTGAGACAACCGTTTTGAGGCCCTTTCTTGAAACCTTTTTTACTGTCGAAATCTTTGTTGAAACTACTATCAATGCGATATTTGTAACAACAAAAATGGAGATTGAACTGGTAAAGAATTGGAGACGTGGTACATTTTAACCCTAACATTTACCAAGCAACCCCCACTTTTTGGGGCCGTTTGGCTAATATTTTTAGTCTGCTTTGGGTCCCCAGCCATGGTGACCATGGTGACCATGGTGAGGCGGTGTTGATCTTCCTCAGTTGGGTCGGGTTCATGCTGATGGGCGCCTATCTCTTCTTGGGCAGTGAAGCCCTGATCCCCCAACTGACGGCCAACGTCTCTGCGGTGGGTGGGGCGGTGACGCTGATTCGCTCCAAATCGCGACATGGCGCGAAATGGGGGGTTTCAAGGTGTAAATGGGAAAATGGGATGTTTTTTTCCCCGAAGAATTGTGCATGTAGATCATGTAGTCATCTAGAATCACATGGATATCAAGTAAGAAAAGAACGGATTGTAAAAGTCTGAGCGGGTATGGGCCAAAGTTTGAGAAGCAAGGGACCTGCAGATTGGTTGCAGTTTTTTTGGAATTACGCAATCTATTTCTTTCAGTTGCCAAACAACTGACTCATTACCAAACAATGACTTCAGGTGCGACCGAGAGGAAGTGACCTTTCAGTGTTCTTGGGGAGCTCCCAGAAATGAGCTTATGAGGCTACAAATAATGGGACGACCCTGGATATATTATAACTATAACTATATTATATTGATTTATATTGATATGATATGCCATGTTCTTCTTCTTCTTGTTCTTCTTGTTGTTGCTGTTGCTGTTGCTGTTGCTGCTGCTGCTGTTGTTGTTGTTGTTGTTGTTACTGCCTCCTTTGTCTAGCGCTGTAGTTGCTGCATTTTTCATGGGGCTGGAACTTGGAATGGAATCATTCATGTCTTCATAAGGGACATGTGGGAAACTCAATGCCATAAACGTACCACTTGGGGATGTTTTCTACCACCCAATGGTGATAACTTGGGGATGGTTTATGGCATTGGGCGAATTCCACATTAAGCCAATGGCCATCACCTTGGAGGGTTCTCCTTTGGCGAACCAAGGAGTGAGTTGAAGTCGGGTGACCTGAAATCTATCCAGAGCACCATGCAGGCCGTTTTGACCTGGGAGTGGATTCGGGGCGGATTTTTTCCTTTTTGAAGATGTAGGACTTATAAAGATTCCAAGGGTCAGACCGAATTTTAAAGGACACCAGCCACCAGTCCAGTTGTTTGAACGGAAAAGAACACTTAGCTGACTTAGCTTGATCCAGAAGCAACAGCATGACCAACCGCAGAATCAGAGCACGATCATGGCCCATGTCATGGCCCATGTCATGGCCTGTCAACCCCAGGCAGCCAGCAGCGAGTTGAAGGCGAAATCTTCTGCACCTTCGGAAAAGAAGACTCAGTGAGATCTACCATGAAAAACCACATGAAAAACCACATGAAAAATAATGAAAAAAACAAACTGAAAAAACAACTTGTGGCAAAGCTTGGTATATTTTGGTATCCATTTTTCACAGGCTTAGGTGGTGCACTGAGTTGCCATCTCTGACATTTTCAGGATGATGTTTTCGGTTTTTAAGATATATACATGGCCAGACCTTGGCAAAGCCACTGGCCCCCTGGCCACGGGTGAAAGTGTTTAACTTGATCCTGCTGGCTGTGAACCACAGCTCGTCTAGATGCTTGGAGAGAATCCTCTTATCTTTGGGTTCTTTCCTTTTTTGGCACAGCATGAATCCTATGCGCCAACGACAACGCGGAGCGAAAGGCTTTGGGGGCGCCAAGGATGAACACAGCGAGGCCCATTTGCCTTGAAGACATTCCCCCAACGTAATTTACAGTGGGATGCAAACCAAACAATAAGCATCCCCATGCGTGTGTTTTTCCATGTTTTTCCCCTTTAAAAGTCAGGATTTCCCGGTGTCAGATTTCCGGAGGGTAACCACCAGAATACATTTTCAGATCCAGTAGTCGCCAGCCCATACTCTGGGAGCAACGACAGTGCAGCCGAGGTCATTGATTACAATCAAAGAAAATACGAGATCGAAATAGTTGAGGCTCATGGGTTCAACTGAGATGTACCTTCCATGACCAGCAGACACTGAGAAGTGTCTCTTTGATGTGTGCCGAAAAAAACGTTTGCACGCATCATTTCCGAAAAGAACTGGAAAGCTTTCAGTGCCGTTGTCCGAGTTCAAGCATGGAATCGATTGAATCTCGGCCATGACATGGTCATGAACATAGAACTCAAGAGGAAAGCTCACTTCGTATGTTCTCTGCCCTGTGCCCAGTGCAAACCAGCGAAAGCCATCTCCATCATCGAAGCAGACGTCAACGTAGACTTTGCCCCTCCAAAGGACTACAAGGTGCGAAAAAATGTCACGCCTCGCAACAGCAGAGCTGTGCAGCTGGTTGTAGAGATCTTTGAGGATTTCTTAGATGGTCAAGATGGAGGTTTCCTGAAATAGGGGTATTTCCCAGATATCATCCATTTATAGATGGGATTTTCCTTGAAATAAATCATCCATTGGTCAAGGCCTAACACCCAGCCTTTCAGCCTGTTGCGCAGGAACCGGTACCAGCTGCTGCGGCCGCAGCTGCAGTGGAAAACACACATCTCGCCACGAAGGCGCGGCTTTTAAAGATCCGATGGATCATGGTCAATAGCAGAATTGCTGGGGTTCATGGATGGTCATTCCCACCCAGATATGCCTATATATATAATATGTATAATTATATATGTATATAAATACACGTATGTATACATATATATACATATATGCATATATATATAATATTATATTATATTACAAATCAATACATATATATATATCATGGTATCTGTCAGTTGGGGATGGACACATAGGATGGATCTGATGATTGTAATGTCCATTGGGAGGAGTCCTGATAGAGGATCGATGCCCATTGACCGATATGTATATATAGAAAGGTCTGGAAACTAGATGTAAAATGATTTAAAGGGTATTAAATATGATGTTGTCAGTAGCTCACATAACATGACTTCAAACTCTTGGGAAGACTATTGCGATGCGCTGGAAGTCACGGTTGCCATTGTTGCCCATGGCTTCGGGGTTTTCATCCAGGTTCGTCTGACAGGATAGCCCTGAATCTATTGGCCAATCACTTTCCCTATCAACAATTTGGAGGTATACCATGGTACCAATGTGGAGGTTTCCTGAAATAGGGGTACCCCAGTTATCATCCATTTTATTTTTGGATTTTCCGAGAAATAAACCATCCAGCTATTGGGTACCCCTATTTTAGGACACCTCCATGTATACCCAACTTTCAGACACAGAGGATCAGAAGTTCTGTCGCAGGAGGAAGAGGCTGTAGCTGAAGCAGAGGTCTCCGGGCTGGGCCCTGTCTCCTCAGGGGTCGTCCAAAATATGCTATACGGCATACGATGTACCCCAATTTACAGGCACTTTATAGGGGACAAAAATTGATGTTCGCATTGGATTCCAGGGATTTCTGAGACTAAAGACCCGCTTCTGACAATTGATGGATGACTTCGTCCAGCCGTTATGTTCTCAGGAGCCAAAGCTCTTCGGCGGAAGCGGTCAACGTGAGCTCAGCATGGGGGGTCCGGCAGGTACACCCATCTAGGTGTCTGGAACTTGGGTATGCCCCCAGCTTATGGCAATTTTAAGGAGGAAAATTATCATGAACCATGAGATGGAGTTGGGGTACCCAATTTTGAGACACAAAAAGTTGGGAGATTGTCTACTTACTCTAGGATGAATTGGTAGAATCTTGTAGATTCAGATGAAATCAGAGTGATGTATCTTCGGAGATCAAGTCTGAATTTCTTGGCTATCCATATGACGTGCTTCTCATATTCAGCAGGTCGCTACATAGCTCACACATGCTCACACTAGTAGCAATTAATAGCAGCTATGTTCAGCGTTTTTTTTTATCAATGGATTGGTTTAAGGGAAAATTTACAGGAAACCATAGATTTTCCCATTAAATATGGGGGTTTTCCTGTAAAATTTCCCTTAAACCAATCCATTGATTTTAGCAATTAATTAACACGGCCGAGTTCGATGTGAACCAAGGTGTGGATGGCAAGCCAATCAAAACTCCTTTGGCCTCACCTGCTTCAGGTGCGGTTTGCCCAGTAAACCTGATGCGAAAAAACTGCCCTGCCTGCCCTGCCTGGTGCTGGGCGTTTTTTTTTGGGGAACCCATCATGCTGGTTTTGAAATCGCCCCAGATTGAATTCCTTCAGAATAAGTGAAGGGACAGGGTATCTTGGGAAAGCATAATATGCTGGAAAGAAGCTACAGTGCCCTCAAATTTGATGGGTGATCACTGTTGATCGTCATTTTTCGCCCTTGAGAAAAGCACGCCACCTGTCGTGCGGGCTCCAGTTGTTAGACGAAGTGTTGGCGATAGTTTTCCATTTTCCAGTCTGTCAAGCATCTATATTGATCATATCTCAGTGCGCATTTTATATGCACATGTATCTAGATCTATATATCTATATCATTCTATATGATATCTAAAAAATTGTATATCTGTATATTTCTCCATATAATTATATAAATATCTGCAGTATATGTATATATATATATATATGAGCAACCGTAAAAACCCCGGCAATACTAAATATGTATTCGACGGACATTGGTTTATGGAAATTGATGGAAATTGTAAAAAACACGAGGTAAGCGATGGGACCTTCCCAAATTAGCGATACACCTTTTCAAGGTTATGTCATCATATTTCTCTAATATCCACATTAGCAATACCCAAATATCATATATTATTCATAGTTCATCACATATATATATATATATAAATGCAGCAGTTTCCTGCAAGCGATACCCCCCAAGTTTACCATATATCATTATTGTACAAACGTGTGGTAAGCGATGGGACCTTCCCAAATTTGTGGATGTCCTTTCCGTGAACCTAGGGTTTTCACAATCGCTCATATATATCTACAGTATATATATATATATACCTACAGTATATATATATATCTACAGTATAAAAAGCATATATCTACAGTATATATATATATATTATAGATATACATCATATGACTATCATTAATTTCGATGGCTTCATGGGCACCGGCGTAACGCGCGGGCGTAGGACCTGCACCGTCCCCTCCGGATGAAGAGGTGTTGATGCCCTGGATCAAAAGAATACCGCGAGGCGAACGGTCGATGGTTTAGCGTTAAAAAAAAACCTGGTGTTTTTTTTTAAGGGAAAACTGTTTGCCATAGGGTAATCACATGATATAAGTCAATAATGGCATGGTCATATATTGTAACCTTTTGGTTTAAATTCCAAAAGCTGAGGAGTTTCGGGCTTAAATTCTTGGCTTGTTTGATCATTGATGGGGTTTGATCGGTGCTGAGGTTACTGTAAACCACAAAGATAGCTTCTGCCAATTTGGGCCATACTGTGAGTTTTTCCTCATTTGACTTTGAAAATAGGCTACTTTTCATTCCATCTACAGGTTCTCCATCCTTTCCCTGTTCAACTGGCCTTTTCACTGGTGGCTTAGACGAAGCATTTTCCACCACACCTGGATCTTTGAAGGAGTGAAGTGGACCTCGCCACCCTATGGCTATGGTGCAGGTCATATGACCGGTGCTAAGGCGCAGCTGATGTGCGGATGAGTCAACCCATGAAATTACCATATGACTTGGGGGAAATTTCACATCCATTCACCAACGGTTTTAGGGTACCGTTTGGGTACCAGGTTTTTTTTTGACTCATAGCCACATTTTTCTTGTTGAATGAGTAAAGATGGAATTTGATTTTTTCCGGTTCTGGTTCTTTAAACATTTGGAACCTTGAACATTGCAGTTGCCAGTCCAAATTATATACTCAGCAAGAATCCCGAAATTGACAATCAGTAAATATTTGAAATATCACTGATATAATCAATAAATTCAGAATTGTGATATAATCAGTAAACTCACAATTTTTAATGGGAAAACTCACTATAAATGGCCATTTTCAATAGCTATGACATGACTGGGTCGCTGCGGTCAGAACCAACCAGAGATCCCGGGCTGAACGGCCAGGGATGAAACAAAAGATATTTTCACCACGCGGACAGAACTTCGTGAATCCCAAAATATTTCTGCATCAAACATGTCATACTACTATAATCTACCACATATATACATATATAAATATATAAATATGTAAATATATATATATATGTAAATATATATATATAAAAACATATGTATATATATATTATTATATTATATATATAAATATTTACTATATATAGATATATGTATATATATATAAATACTATATAATATATATATATATATATAATCCTACGACTACTACGACTACTACGACTACTACTGCTACTGCTACTGCTACTGCTGCTGCTACTACTGCTACTACTACTACTGCTACTACTCTACTGTACTACTACTACTACTACTAGTACTACTAGTACTACTAGTACTACTAGTACTACTAGTACTACTAGTACTACTAGTACTACTAGTACTACTAGTACTACTAGTACTACTAGTACTACTAGTACTAGTACTACTAGTACTACTAGTACTACTAGTACTACTAGTACTAGTACTACTAGTACTACTAGTACTACTAGTACTACTAGTACTACTAGTACTACTAGTACTACTAGTACTACTAGTACTACTAGTACTACTAGTACTACTAGTACTACTACTAGTACTACTAGTACTACTAGTACTACTAGTACTACTAGTACTACTAGTACTACTAGTACTACTAGTACTACTAGTACTACTACTAGTACTACTATTACTACTAGTACTACTAGTACTACTAGTACTACTACTAG